GTTTTTGCCACGTGGACGCCCTGTCAGTGAGGCACACACCCCAGGTCTGTTTCTGCGTTGGTGATTTTTGAGGTAGGGTCTCACAGGCACGCTGCCTCCTTCTGCTGCTCCTCCTCACACCTGGAGAGCCAGCCCCGGGGATTTTGTTTTTCAGTTTTTTATTCAAGTGAGTAAAGCTTCTGACCACCTGGACTTTCTGAATCATTCCAGGATCTTACCAAAAGAAGCTCCAGAATGTTAACTTTTTAGAAATGGAGTGAAGCTCAAATACTCTATGTAGAAGAGACATTGACCAGACAGTGGTCGTTGTGTCTAAGTTGTAGCTAATGAACATGTAGTACATTATAAATAAGATACTAGTTAACTACAATTTGGGGTTGATTCGACTTCTGGTATAGTTTTAACTTTTACCTAGCTATAAGGTTAGAATATAAATATTAAACTATTAAAAAAAATCTGGATCCAAGTCACCTGAGGAATAGTTCTCAGACGCTTTTATTCCATACCCCAATTTCTCCCTCTGCTCTCTGCCTCACTGGCCTACACCTCCAGTCTCCCTGTCCATTTTCCTGTTAGTCGCTAGAAGCAGCTTGCTGAAGGAAGGCAGTATCCTGTCTGACCAGCAGGCCCAGTTATGAATTCTTTATTAGGGCCAATTCCTTTCTTCACTAGGGAACTTGATTTCTCTATTTACTTATTTCTCTTGTGCTTTGTGTTAGTATTTTGTTTGAAGTAACAATACCCTTTCATCTCTCTCAGATTCTACTGAAGATCATTAACACCCAAGTCATTACTAAGTGACATTAGGCCATTTCCTCTTGCCAATTAATAACCACGTTTTATGCCTTGGGACCCATCTGACACCTTACCAAAATAAATTTCCTTTTAGATTGTATATCAGGAGTGAAATTGGTTCGTAAGAGCAGAGAAGAAGCGCTCAGGGACACAGGTGCAGTCCGGGATGGGGCTCTTAATTCTTGGGGATGGATTTGTTGTCACCTGCCTCTTTTCTTCTATGCATGGTACCCATCTTTGGTCTTGCGTTCCGATTCCATTGCTGTTTTGTGCTGTATTGGGGCTCCTTCTAGTCTATCACCAGTGTGACTGTTTGAATTCACAACGGGGGGACTTTCCTCATGAGACTGGCGGGTTTCCCCTTCCCTGTTCTTCCGGCTCTGGAGGCTGCTGGGTTGGGGGAAGAGATTTCCCATCATTTTGTTAAACTAGAGCAAGTGTTTGCAAGCTCTCCATTGCCAGTGCTCAAGTCCTACTTAGAGCGTAGCGCTGTGTTTCTGGGCGTGTGTAAAGTGCACACCACGGGGACACGGAGGAGGAGGAGGTGGTGGTATGAATGTCATCTCAAAGTACAGTTGAATACGATATGGTTTCATCTCCCAGATGAGCATCGTGTGGGACATTTTGATAGAAAATGCGATTTTCTGTGACAGCAAAGGAGAATACAGAGTGGTGTAGAAACCAACATTCAAGAGGACTTAGAGACAAACAGCGGTTCATGGGCTTTGGCTGTTCATCAGTAGCATCCCTTAGCTCCGCTGGGGTGCATTCAGCTGCTCTACCTCTCCAGTGAGCTGGAGGTGCGGGAGGATGGGTTCGGCTAGGACAGTCCTAGAATAGGGTGCGCAGGTCTGGGCCATCGAGTTTTTAATTGAAGCCACAGAGTTGAGCTTTGTTTTGCTTTGCTTTGCTTTCATGCACAGTGCCCAAGGGCACCATTCAAATGAATGCTGAGAAAATGCGTAATTATTTCTCTCTTTTGTTCCCACGCTTAGGGTTGCCAAAAGGGGAAAAAAAATCAAACAGCATTTACAAAGCCTTCCTAATATTCCGTTCTGATGGAGGGTGTTATTTTTCCTATAAGCATTGAACAGCCTAGTTCACGAATTGTCTGAAGTAAATCGTCGGTTGATGTAAGGAACATCATAAATTAATTTTCAATTAGGCTAGAAATGATTTGCAGAGGAGGGGAAGCAAGCACAGCTAACCTTGGAAGAAAATAACATCGCAGACATGCATGCAGTCGTGAGAGACAGCGCCCAGAGGTGCTGGGCGAGGGTGGCCTGAACAGAGGAATGACAGTGACCACGTGGGTGTGCTCCTGCAGCCACGCAGCTGGGGGCTCTGCCGGGTGTCCATCTCCATCTGCACAGCAGTGGCCATTGATCGATCGTCTGCTTTCCTTGTCTGCCGCCCTTCCCAGCATGGCTTACGGCCTAGGAACAGTCAGCAGCCTCCCTTCGTGCGGGATCTTCCTGTGAATGGAGGGAGCACTGGGAACACTGGTTGGGTGATTCCCTGGGAGGCGGGAGCCGTATGTATTCAAAGGCAAAGGCTCTTCTGAAGGTTCAGCCTAAACCCTCACTCTCCCAATTACCAATTCACAAGTAAGATGAACTAAAGGCATGCCCCTAGCATTGCTCTAAACCTTTAAAAAGTAAAACCCCAAAGCAGGAACGAGGTCTTTCACTGTTTTATTTCAGGCCTCTTTGTGACAATGGTACTGGGCTTGGCACTGAGAGGCTTACACTTGCTAGGCGGGTGCTCTACTTTTGAGTCGCCACGCCAGCCCTGTTTTGTACTAGACATTTCTCCAGTAAGGCCTTGTTTTCTTCCCAGGCATGCCTGAGTCCTGCTCTCCAGAGCATGGCTCCCAGGCGTGCACCACCACACTCAGGTCTCCGTTGAGAAGAGGCCTTGTGAACTGTTCCATTGAAGCTGGCCTTGAACCACAATCCTCCCAATCTCAGCCTCCAAAGGAACAAGGATATAGGTGTGAGGTACCAGCTCCTGGTATAAACATGTTCACTGGCTGCCCGGTCAGCCCCCTGCCTGGGGCCTACCACCACGGCTCTGGTCCCCTAACCACGGGAGCTGGGACCAGCCATCCCACGCCAAAGGCATGTTTTTCTCACCATCTGAAAGTTGCAGATGAAGAAACTGAGAACCCCAGAGATGAGCTGGTGAGTGGCAGAGTCAGAGCTTCAAGGGGCAGGTACTGTAGATTCAGGGCGGGGTCTGTATCCACTCCCCCCCCCACTTTTCCCTTCCTCTCTCTCTCCCCCCTCCACCCCTCCCCACCATCTCCAATTGCTCTGCTTCTTTCTCCCTTACTGAAATCATCCAAGAAAGGAAACCTGACTCAGCGGGGACTTTGAAGGGACTGTGAGGAAGGGACTACTACTTTAGGAGCTGTGGGAAAATTTTATGGAACCAGTGAGAATTGTGGCCCAGGAGCCGAACTCATGACCCGCAGGGCCCCAGAAGGAAATAGAGTTGCAGAAGAGAGAAGGAGGAAATACAGAAGCTACAGGTACAGAAGGCTCTGGAAGCTCAGAAGCACCTGCCTGGGAAAGCCACCTCCAGGATTGGGAGGCACACTTTCTCTCCTGGGCCTGCGCGTGTGTGGTGAGAATCAGACACACCGCAGAGAAAACATGGTTCCTGTCTATTCTGTAAGAGGGGTCTGGCGTTACCATAACACTCAAGCAGTTCTGCCTGTTCTCATTAGCCTTTTCCTACCCAGTTCTTCTGGATCTCTTCCCTCCAGTCCAAGCTCCCGTTGCTGAAGGATAATGTGTGTGTGTGTGTGTGTGTGTGTGTGTGTGTGTGTGTGTGTGTGTGTGTGATCAGACATATGGGACAAACTGTCTTAAAGCCAATGACATGGCGAAGGGCAGAGGCCCCGATCGGACCTGGGGAGGAGCTGCTCCGCGTGTCTGCAGGAACAGATTTTCTTCGCGGGATCCCTCTCCCCGGAGAGCAGCCACACAGAAATCAAACTAAATTTATCTTGTCCTTTGAGTATAATATCAACTCTGAAGAAAGTCGTGCATGCTGCATCTATTTTTCTTCACTAAGCCCATCCATGAGGCACAAGTTGTTCTCAAGTGTGAAGAATAATTACTGCTTTACAAAAAAAAACTTTAAAAAAAAGACAGGATAGCTGCTGTTAAGTTCATCTGAAAGCTTTCTTCGAATGAGCGTCTTTCTTCTGGCTGGTATTGGCATCAGGACTGGTGTTCAGCCACCGCTTCTGTTCTCGTTTGCATTTGACAATTTTGCATCTCGAGACTGTGCTGGTGAGCAACCAAAAACATAGGTAGAAATTTCTTTAAGGATATTTTGGGTAAGATATAGCGTCTACTTTTCAGTAAACATCAAGGAGTGTCGCATTGCTGATACAGCTTCTGTTTTCCGGGACCCACAAACTCATTAGGGCAAACCTGAGCCTCTAACTCTGCCATGGAAAATGCTTACTCTTGGTGATGAATGGTAGGAAAACTGTAGTCTGCCTGTTCGTGGAGGTTTTAAAAAGAGCATGTAATTTGCTTCTTATTCTGGAAAGTGAGCACAATAGAAATGCAGCTAATGAGCTCTCTATCAAAAATAGCTTGTAAGGAGAATGGCTTTGCTACTTTTGAAGGACTGAAGGATGGAAATTTGAGATTCCTAGAAATTTTACTTGTCTGGCATCCAAAGTTCTTGGAATCATACATTTGGGGGAATCATTGGTCTGCAAACATTTTAAATATCATCAAAGATCAAAATTGTGAAATACTCTTTACTAACTTCCTTCCAACCAGCTCAGTATTGAAGTTTTGCAGTCTTCTGGGACTAATGGTTGCTTTGGGGAGGTGTGTGTGTGTGTGTGTGCATGCACACATGCATGCGCATGCACATGTGCATTTACTGGAGCTTGAACTCAGGGCTGGTGCTCTACCACTTGAGCCATGCCTCTACGGGCTTTTTTACTGGTTAATTGGAGATAAGGGACTCATGGACTTTCCTGAATATGCTGGCTTCTAACTGTGATCCTCTGATCTCCACCTCCTAAGTAGCTAGGATTGCAGGGGTGAGCCATTGGCATCTATCCCCTGTGCCCAGCCTAGTTATTATTTTTTATCTGTGTATCCACCTGTCTGTCTGTCTGTCTATTGCTCTTCTGAATCTGTTTCTCAGTACAACTCTCTTCTCCTTTCCAGGTCATGGGTTCGGTCCATCCAAGATGTCTCGTGCACAGACATTTCCCAGCTATGCCCCGGAACAGAGTGAAAATGCCCAGCCCCCATTGTCAAGGTCCAGCAGCTACGGGTTCAGCTACAGCTCCAGCCTCATTCAATGACACACAGGGGCCACTGCTGACCAGAGAGACAGTCTGTCCTGGACCTGCCTGCAGGGTCACCACACCCTCCGCCCCCCAGAAGACCAACTGCAGAACACATTGACGTGGGTCAGGTCTAGCCTCGATCCCAATGGAAGGTTAAAAATTGGAGTTCTGCTTCCTTGCTTCAGTGGCTAAGTCCTTTATTTATTGAATTTCTATGGGGGAAATCTATGTTTTACAAAAGTAGAATCCAAGTCGTACGCACAGTCATTTAAATACACTAAATTCATAGGGTCTGACAGGAGCAGCAACCTTGGCCCTGGGGGAGATGCCCGCACTGGCAGGGACTGCAGGCGTTTACGCCCACCCCTGGCCGCACATCTAGGAGCAGGGTCTGTCCTGAGACAAAGCTCACCCACCACTAGTTCTGCGGCTTTTTTCGGTTTTGACAGAGACAAATCTAGTCAACTCTACAAATCGTATTTTAACTCTTCATATAAATAAGCCCAGTGACAATGATAAGGGAACCTGAAATTAGAACACTCCATGAAGCAGGACCGCATCGCTCTACTGTGTGTGTGTACGCGTGTGTGTATGTGTGTGTGTATGTGTGAGAGTGTGTGGAGACAAATGTAGACGTGGATATATTGCTCTATCCATCTCTGTATAACAAGCCTACATCAGCGTGCTAACGGTGGCAGGAGGTGCTTGCCCAGCTGTTGAGGGCTGCATCTGTGGCATTGAAATCATGGCTGTGTGGTTGAATAGCCCTTCGTAAAGTCGTGCTGCTTTCTTCTTTTTTTTAAAAAAAAAAAAAAAGGTTTCTTACTAGTGAACGTATTTCTGTTGTCTGGTTTGCTCCTGTGACAAGAGTTAAGTGGATACGTTAGAAGGAGAGAATGTTCTGGAGACACAAAAGGCAGCCTGGGCGTCTCACACACACACACACACGCACGCACACGCACGCACGCACCTGTCTGGTTTGTGCTCCCTTGTCCTTGACTCTGTCTCTCCTTGCCACCCACCCGAGCTGCGTGAGGCAGATCTGTGTGACCGTCGATCACCTTCCACAGACTTCCAGAAAACCTCACTCGTTTTTGCCATCAGGCTTAGAACAGACGCAGGAAAATCAATAGGAAGTCTGAGAATTTTCCAGAGCCCTTTCCCCAGAGCCATCAGAGGCTTAGAATACCCTGGAGAGCCAGGACCTGGTAGCATTGAGATTTTTTTTCCTTGTATTGGACTTGTTTTGTCTGAAATTATATAAGAAAAGGGATCACATGTAAAATTTTCAGCCCTGACACAAATGACAACTTTGCAAGGTTCAAGAGGAAGGAGCAACTTCCATGTGAACAGAGAAACTCATGCTGGCCTTTAGTTTAGGCAGTAAAAGAGAAATAAAAATAAAAATTCTTCTGTGTGGATCCTCTGCTACCATGTGTCCTATGATTATCTTACATCGACTCTGGGGTGAGTTCAAAGACCAGGCAGAACTGGGCAGGCGCGATGACAAGTTGACCCTATTTGTTCAAACAGCAGTGTGATTTTCACTAGCACGGTGAGTCTCCTGAAAGGGTCTCTTTTTTCACTGATCCCTGATCACATTTTTCCTCCCCTTTGCAATTCATGTCAGTAAATTCCTACTGCAGAAAAATGGCCCTGTCTTTGTCCTGACCAATCGGCCCCCATGGCAGCCAAGAGAACTCTCCAGATCACTCACATAGGCATGAAAACCCTGTCAAGACACTCATCCTAAGCGTTAATGTGGCTGTGACAAATAATTATCCTCCACCTTTGGGAATTGAGAGAGAGAGAGAGAGAGAGAGAGAGAATGAGCCCAACTCTCTCTGCACTGTGAATTCTGCGGACGCAGCAGAAAGCAGATGATGTCCACTTCCGAGGACACAGCCCTTCCTTCCCGGAGCCCAGCTTTCAGGGTTAAGACCTCTGATGCTCCTTTACCTAAAGGTCACATTTGCTTTAGGAGTACCATGAGTCAAGTGCTCCGGAGCAGCCCCGCCCAAGCTGAGAGCATCCGCACAGCTCCTGCGCAGCCAGCCTCTCCCAGCCTGCTCAGTCGAGCTGTTGCTTAGCCACCACCACGAGTTTCTCCCAGGGACTTATGGGAAAAGACCCTCAGGGGGGTCCACGTTCACCTCTCAGCATTATTAATGTGCCAGAAGCACAGACAGCAGGTCCCCGGGGACTCTGCTAAGGACAGGAGCCTGCTCTTGTGGCTCTGGTGGCAGACCAGTGTCTGCCTGAGGCTGTTTGCAGAATGCCTTTTGGTGTTCCCAACAAGCAAAGTGGGTAAACAATCAGGCAGGATTAACCCTGGGCCAGTTTATTCCGAAAATAATGTCACTCCAACAGAGCGTGACCAAGGAGTTAGCTTCCTGGGCCTTGAGCCCAATCCCATTCTGGTGAGAAAACACTAGAAAATATGTCATGGTCCACTTAGGGAGCTTTATTCCAGCCTGTCGAAGTGTACTTAACCACGCAGCCAAGTCACACCTGTTCTGTGAAGAGTAGGAGACTTTCTAGTCCAACAGGCACCTGACACAAGTCGGTGTTTCTTGGAATCAAAATCACAAGCAGAGAAATCTACAAAAACCAAAGATGGGAAGTCACTCCTAGCCACCTCCTGGAGCTCTGTTAAACAGCGAACCCACTGGGGTTAGCAGGACGGCTGCCGATGCGCTCTCAATCATCCGAGCTTGTCGGTTTGTGACAGAAGGTGGTTTACACTGCGCAGACCCTTCTCCCTCCAGCCACTGTGTGATGTCGTGAGTGTGCATGCAGCTTCTCATAGTGAGGGAAGGGTTGCTATGAACCAAAGACATCTTTTGACTCCTTCTGAATGTGACTCAGTGGGGTTGCACGAGATGTGTACAGATGACTGCAAGGGTCACTATTTTCTACATAACGCTGGAAGAGACCAATGAAAATCCCAGCAGGCAGAACAGTTTCTCTGACATCAGAGACCACCCCAACGTCTATACCTTTCACAGAAACATTAGCTGGGGGAATTTACTTTTTCCTTCTGATAATATTAATGTACACATGGCCAACTTAGGATATTGTTTAATGTGAATGAAAGTACAAATGGCCATGACCTGATAACTCAGTATTCAGAGGATGGAGGTGGATAAAACACTTCAGTAATTTATTGAACAAACAGTGGGGCACACAAGGCTAACTCATTTAGGCAGATTTAAAATATTTATGGATCAACTGGTTTTGGCCACTACCATAATTTGATTTACCAAAATGAAAATTATATATTTACTTATATCTTAGAGAAGATGCTGTTTGATAGAGCATGTAAAATAAAGTGAAAATACTTACTAAATCTCACTTCTCTCACCAAGTAGTAACTAGTGCTAGTATCTTGTAGAATTGTTCCCTGACTTTGTTAGACAGTTACGTTTGAAAAGAATTCATCACTGTAAAGCAGTCAGCCGTTTATACCTTCTATCCAACAGAGAGGTAGTGGACTGATAGCTTTATACTGTTAATAGTTTCTACAGATCCAATTGATTGCATGTGGTATCTCTGTAATAGCTATTAAAACTACATCCTAAAGATTGATGTCTGCCCCTCATTCTTGGGCCAGTATTTATCTACAAAATCTTGAAACTTCTTTTACTGTTGGAACCATTACTGCTATGAAAATGAGCTAAGGAAATTCTTATTTTAAAAAAAAACTTTTGATTAGTCTAACATAACGCAATAAATGCTGCTATACTGTCACTGAAGTTGAGCAGCAGGCCTCAACGCCATATTTTACTAAACAAAGAAATAAAAATAAATAGGAGAAAACTTTTCCAAGTGAGTTATACTCATCTCTGATTTTATTACTATGTTACCATATCTTGCAATTTCCAGTTTTTTTTATCAAATCATTAATTACACAATTTCTGTTCCACCACTCTCTCAAAATAGACTTTAAAAAATCCCCCTCGGTATGCATTTAATAGTGAAAAGAGCTGGTGATATGCTACATCAATTAATTTCTGCCCTATAAAACTTATGAACTATGTATTTGCAGGCTGTAGGATTTACAGTGTGCATTTGCACACTGTAGAGCAGAGGATGGTGACTAGGTGATGCAGAATCCGTGGGAATGCGCAGAGTAACAGGGAGGCTCTATGTGCTGACATGTTCCCCAGTTCTGTTTCTTGGAGTTGGCCTTCTGCTCTAATGCTTGCACTGCATGCAAGTGGAGGAAGGCATCAGCCATGTGCTGTCAAGACTACAGAAAGGCAGCACAACACCAGTAGCTGCTTCTTGCATGTGGTGAGACTATATTACCCCCAAGAGAACGTGTAAGGTGAGAATCACTTTTCGATGGCCAACTCTCGATCAGTTGAATCATGATGTATTATCGGTGAGTCTGCGGAGGGCGCTTAACATTATGAGAAGATAACAGCACTCATGCATAAGTGAGCAGACTCTAAATGTATTTGGAAAGATTATTCATCTTTTTCCCCCTATGGAACTAGAAGATGTCCATGCTTTCTTACTCAAGAATGTGAATCTGTGTCACTGCAACAATGATTTCAACACAGGAGACACAAATACCTTACGGACTGTCCTGGAAGTGTCCTAAATGGCTGGCATGTTTTTCTGGACAGTTGTATTGCTAGCTATCTCTGAAAGTGATCTTAAAGACCATGTAGATTAAATAAAGGTCTTACTGTTTCTTGTTTTCACTGGGAGAACACTGAAATCCATGGAGGCTGGAATCTGATTAAAGGCAAAGAAATGGCCAGAAATGGGTTCCTCTACTCCATTCCTGGACCTGCACTTGAGCCAGCTCTTCCCTCTGGGGAGAACTGGAGTTGGAAAATACCCTGTGGCTTCATTATAAATAAACCCTATACTTTGTGTCCCCTATTTTTGAGATGTTCTTGGACTCATGACCAGCTATGCTCATAAAGAAGTCATGACAATACATTAGTTTTGTTTTTGTTTTTAAGTTATTATTTTTCCCCATCGTGGGCTTGGGCACTGTCCCTGACCTTGTTTGGGCTTGAGGCTAGAGCACCACCACTTCCAGTTTTCTGGGGGTTCATTGGAGATAAGAACCACACACAGACTTTCCTGCCTGGGCTGGCTTGGAACAGGAATGCTCCCATCTCAGCCTCCAGAGTAGGCTAGGGATACAGGCGCGAGCCACTGGCATATTCAGTTTTGGTTGTTCTTTAGGTGATGAATGATTCGTGTAAATTTTATTCTTCTTAAATTATTCTTCAGTTCATTGTCCAAAATTCAAACTTACTTATCGTAAAATAGCATTTAGAATTTAAAAAGAAAAACTAGGCATGTGTTTTGAAGTCCTACAAATACCTCACACAATAATCACGACTCATATTTTTGGATCTATATTGCTCCTTATGTCCACAGTATTTTTTCACAACTGCATTACATAATTGATAATATTAGAGCTGTGTTTTCTCAATGAAAACCTTCCATTTTCTTTATTTAAAAAAAACTTCCGTTCTCAACAGAAGTTTGGGAAATGATGTTTTTACAAATCAAGTTTTTTCTTATAAATTTCTGTAGCTAATTAAGTGAAGTTTAGGTGAAAAAGAAATGTTTAAATTATTAAATAACAGGAAAACCATAATTGTGCTTTTCAGACTATTTCCTATTTTAACTTTTTTTTTACATCTTGTAAATAATTGAAGGAGAAGGAAAGTATATTTACAAATTAAATGCATTTCTTCCACTAATTCCATCTAAATTATAGGGATTTTTAACATATTTCCTACATCCCTCGTCTGTATCAACCATGTCAATTGAGACAGAATAAATTTTTAATTATGATTTTGATGCAGTTTCCCAAGTTCATACAACTTTTTTCTATCTTTCAGTATGGTTTTTATACTGAGTGCAAAAAGACCCTTTCTGTACACATGATCATGCAACTCATGGAGTACCTAGCTGCACTTAGCACCTGTGATAATACTAAATTTAGAATTAGTTGCTATTTTAAATAATTCAAGAAATCAATTTATGTTCTCAAAAGCATTGCTGAAATTTAAAAATCTAAATCCAGGCAGAGAAGGTTAACTATAATTTTATTTTAAGTCACAGCAGGATTTCTCTCAAAGAAGTCATCTAAAGAGTGATTTTCAGGTAGATTCAGACATAGATCATTCAATAGAGATGTAAAGACAGGCAACAGAATAAAATGTCAGTCTTACCTTAGCATTCAACATCAAGCAGAAATCCAATATTAAAGTATAATTGAACTAATCAAATTCAGATTCACAAATGTTTTGTGTAGTTGAACAAAGTGTTAACTCTTGACATATGAATACAAGTAGACAAAATGAAGGGAATGGTGTTTGAAATCTCGAAGAAAGATCCATCTGCATAGAATATGATTCTAATTGTAGGACACTCAGTTATTTCATTACACCTAGTCTGCTCTCTGATAGATGGCTTTATCATTATCTACATCCTAGGATTGTCAGTGGCTCCTTGTCCTTTCCCCTGCACCTGAATCTTCACACACGCGCGCGCGCACACACACACACATACACACACACGCACATTGGGCTATACTATCTGTGCCACTGAAGCTTCTTTATTTACTTTGGAGGTTCACACATCTTGCAGGTCTATGGCCCCATGCATCTCTAAATATTCTAGCATATATGTTGGATGTGTCCTACCTATATATCTTTATTTAATTAATTTATATAGACTTTGTGAAGTCTTCTACTGTACATGATAAAGGGATGTCATTTGTGGATGACTAAATAGGATGTTTATGATCACTTTGAAAAATAACTTTGGACATTAAATTCTTGTTAAAAAATAAAACATGCAGCAGAAATTTGTTTCTGTTAAGGATGATATGATGTGAACATAGTTTTTGTTTTTAGTTGTAATCTATTCCAGATAAATAATAGTCTGAGAACATCTGTATGTAAATGGTAATTGAACCACTTTTTGGAATGAAATGCAAAAAAAATTATATCATTGGAAACTA